TATCGTGATAATATCGTATCGTGGGATGTATGGTGATTCCCACCTCTAGACATCAGGGGATGAATTTCCAACAAAGAGCGTTCAAGCTTGAGTATCTCACACAAAGCCACATACCTAATTCAGCATGTATCAACTCCACATCTACTTTACAATAATGCTGGCTAGGCAGCAGTTTCTAAGCAACATGCTGCAAGTAGTTGAGGAACTTGAATGTCACAACACCAATAAAGTAACACACCATTCAGTAAGAGGTTGAAAGCACCAGCAATGTGCAAAAATGATTTCTGACCTGCCAAAAATGGGTAAAGGAACACCAACCACCTCTTAGTAAAAGATGAGATGCAAACATCAAATTCATCAGTATTCCACATCTTCAGAGGCATTATGCCACATGACCAAATGTGTTGCCGTGTCCAGAATAACATAAAAACTGCATACTTTGCCACTGGATTGGAACATTCTGCAGGACACAGTAGAAAATTAAATACTGCTATAAAATCAAGAACAAAATTTCCAACCAGGCGCATACCACTATTGGAGCTGGAGCATGGATAATTAGCTTCAAATACATACAGTACAAAACTGGGTTTTTACAGTGCAGTATCCCATTCATCAAATGAGCTGTTGACAGACTAATGTCTTGAACACACTTCATTTCAACTTCTCACTGGCAAACATCGTGTCCGTATTAACAGCCTATAATAAAAAGCTAAACCAACAAACAAGAAGAACTGAACCATTTACCAGTTCATGATGCCACTGAGACTAATCCATCCTCCTCATGTCATCGTGTAATTTCCAAATATCGGCCAGTGCCTGGATGCTACCACACACACACTCTACAAGATCCAACTATACCTATGAGATGAGTCAATCTTGGCCAGGATGCTTGCTCTCCCGTATGGCAAGCGGCTCTTCCTGTCGCGAGACACAGCGGTGGGCAGGCGCGAGGAGCGCCATACCAGTGGGTCAACGTGGTCGCCCCGGGACATGGCGAATTAAAGAAGGAGGATTTGCTGTGCCCTGCCAGGCCTGGGCCTCCCTGCCTTGTAGAGCAATGAAAGACTGAAAGACTGAAAGACTGTGGCTCCGGGCTGTCGTGCTGTGTCCTATGGGGAGTTCCCCTTAAACGCATACAGAGTCACACTCATCTCATCCCCTGCCCTGGAGACACCAGCTAGGCCAGCAGGTGCTGTCTATAGAAAGCTCCCATACCACAACTACAGATGAGCAGCAGCCCAAATGAATCTCTGTGTGTGAGTGTGCATATATGTGTGTGTCTCTCTGAGGAAGAGATCATTTGCAAACTTTAAAACAAAATCCATTCAGACATGTTAAATCTTCAGGGTCGACTGGAGCTTACGGGAGCTTGCAAAAATGAGAATTAAAGTAGATTTCCACGAATAGATTTAATTACGTTTCCATGTTTTGAGAGTGAAAAGGAAGTGGAGCCTGCACCAGCCAGACATGAAACCTCACACAGAAGAAACTTACAATGCTTTAATATCATCTGAATTAGACATAATATGAAAAGTAAATGTCTCCCTGTGCTCTGGTGGTAATTAACTCGACTTCATGGAGTCTGTGTTTCTTTAATATACAGTGAAATGTTCCTGTTCATGTGTGTAATGTATTATTAAAATATAGTAGTACATGTACTGAAACTATGAAGCTATGATACTCAACTCAGCATATTACTTTAACACAAGTCTAATTATCTGATTATCGTTGCGGTTAACAAAACCCCTAACAATGAATGAATGAATGAATGAATGAATGAACAATGACGTTGTTGCGATATGAGAAATAAATCCTGCGTGTTGCCAATGACATACATTAAATTATGGAAAGTGATACTCGGGGAATTTGGTTGAGAACATTAAATCCCTCGTTTATGATGTTTGAGTCATGCGTTCATGACTGGCTCATTCTGACTCACACACTGACACTCAGACACAGAACTGTGGGACCTTCTTAAAACATTGCTTTAAAAACCAGCAACAGCTCACGAGATTTCAATTGATGGCAGCTCAAATTATGTTGCATCTCTAGACTGTTCTTAACACAATATTTTTCCTGATTTGAAAACAACATTTTCAATCAGTCCCTTCATTTCCATCCTTCCTTCTGACCTTTGCAGACTGTCTTCAATCAGCTATGGATGTTGTCACATTTTAATAGCTTATTTTTCACAGACAGACATGGACTGATCCTCTGACCTCTAGAGATGGACCGATCCAATATTACGTATCGGTATCGGTCTGATACTGACCTAAATTACTGGATCGGATATCGGAGAGAAATAAAAAATGTAATCGATCCATTAAATATCAAAAAAGCACCTCACAAAACTTGTGACATGGCGTAACTCAGCTCATAACTGTAGCACGTCGGAGCAGTGTGGTCACGTGATAGAGCGGCTGTGGCCTGTGAGACCTGTCGGTGGTCTGGTTGAGCATTTGGAGCCTCGCTACCAAACCGGCATTTTATCCCAGAGAAAGTTTTCCCAGAGAGAAGTAAAGCAAGTGTGTAAGTTCATCTCTGAATGTTTGTAAAGCTGGAATGCTTTAATGCTTTGCGTTAAGCTTAACAACCGATATATGGAGCGACTGCCTCTCTCTCTCTCCTGCTGCTACTTCAATCATGAAACTGATCAATGATCAGCTGATCGGCTTTTCTGTTGTGAGTCCGTCTCTCTTGTTTGTTTATTGCCCACTTTGCACCAGAAAGAGGAAACCAGCGGCTGAACAACAGCAGCACGTTTAAGCTTGATAAGCTGTTGTTAGAATGGATTTATTATTACTTTCTACACCAGGATCTTTTTCTAGCAGCTGATGTAACTGTGCAGGGGCGGATCTAGCAAAGTTTAGCCAGGGGGGCCGATAGGGCATGAACAGGGAAAAGGGGGCACAAAGACATACTTTTCTTTCTTATTCTCATTTAAAATGTCGAGCTTTTAATAAATAATTATCTGAATCTTACACCCAAAGTTTTGATCTGATTAAGTCTAATATACCCTAGTAAGCTGTAGTACTTTTTCCTTTGGGAAGATACCATCTGTGCAGTCTGCAATTCTGTTGAAGAAAGATGCTGAATCTATTTAATTATTCTTCAAAAACAATTGATTTCCGTGCATTTGTTTTTATTAATTTTTTTATTGTTTTATACGTGCATTAAATTAAAGTTGATTACGTCAATTAAGCATCACAAGGGTGGGGGGTGGTTCCCTATTTTTTTTTGCTGGGAGTTTGCAACCCTATTAGTTAGGTTGCTTAATATTTCCACTAAGTACTCTTTAAATTACCAGAATATCGAGGATGGAGCAGGTTTAAGTTTATTAGATTGATCAGTGTTGCTGAACTATGAAATATTTTGGGTGCAGTGTATTCATACAGGTATAACAGAGCTTTTGTGTTTTGTTTTTTTTTTTAAACTTGAGTATGAACTTATACAAAATGCAGCAAGATATTAAAAAAAACAGTTTTATTGATTAAAAAAATACACTATATCGGATTCATATCGGTATCGGCAGATATCCAAATTTATGATATCGTTATCGGACATAAAAAAGTGCTATGGTGCCATCTCTACTGACCTCCACTGTGGCCTTCAACATTGAGGCATTATTCACTTATTAGTGCAGAAGAGAGACAGTGAGGGTCTACATGGAAATCATCTAAGACACTTCTTTGGTTGAAACAAATTCTTTCTTGAGATCGAAACTAAAAAAAGAAATGTGCAGCTTCTGTAACGGCTCATTAAGTGTGCATGTATTGATTCGTCAAGTCTGAAACTAGGTTGACACAGCGATGTGCTTCCAACAATTCACTGTTTTGTGTGTGCGTGTTCAAAAGAGAGAGAGTGAGAGCATTCACCACCTGTTGTGGGGGTGAATAAAGAGGGTGGGAATGGGAGGCAGCTGTGCCCCTAATAACCCCCTTAACACACGATACACTGACCCCACTGCCACCATCTCCTAACTCAACCAAACACAGTGAAGTCAAAGCCCTCGACAGTATCATCTTACTCACATGCCCACTCCTTAAATACTGAGACTTAACGCTGTTATTGCACTGGTTTAATGCACATACTCTCTCTCTACAGTCACACACTAATAGAAAACATCGCAGCCACACCGTGTGGCTGCGTAGTAACTCGATCTGGCCGGGGGGAATGCTGCTCATGTGTGGCATCTCAGGCCTTCTTTTAAATGCTGCTGTGTCTATTTACATCACACAAGTACAGGCCTTCTTTGCTTCTGCTGCCTTTTACAGCGCTCAACCCTCTGTAGGCCAACACTTCTGCTGTATAATCCACGTCTTCTTATACTGTATTTCTAAATAAACATACAACAAGCATCGTCATATTAAACACTTCTGGGGTACTCACCTGATGAAAAGCCATGAAACAGTTCTGCAGCATCTTCTAGCTTATTAGAGCTACCTTATTAGGCAGTACTAAATGATGCTGCCAGCTTTTGCACTGAAGTACTTATAAAGCAAATGTTTGGCATTTATTTTCTGTCAGGCACAAAAAATGATCAATAATACTCTCACATGTGTTTGTTAAACACAGGCTCACAGGCTTAGATTAGATTTCTGTTCTGGATGGTCAGATTAGAACCTGATCTGAGATGTACCTGTGTGCCACGTCTGGTTTCTCAACTCTGTGAGGAGTGGGTGTTTTGTAGTGAGATCAGAGACTAAGATTTCAATAATTCATTAAGCACTTTGGGTCAGCTTGTGTTGTTTTAAAAAGCTCTACAGTATATAAATCAAATTGAGTTGACTAATAACTTGCCTCGTCTTACATATGGAGCTGATGCAGCAAAAACCTTAATCATCATCTTTGTATCTTGTTATTCATTTCCTGCACCACAGAGAGGAGGTCACATCCCTCAGTTTTCTGTTTAGAAAAACTATAACAGGACCTAATTGAGCATCTGAAAGCGATAAATCAATGAATATTGCAACATCAAGCATGCATCCCAAACAGGCAGGCAGCACAAGGGAAGCAAAACAAAGACAGATCTGCATGAAAATCTGTGTCCATGTTTAGTGCAACATACCTGGATTGCATCTCTTGTGATTTGTGGCTGCTGGCAGATGATGCGGTGCTGCTGGTCTGCTGGCTGAGCTCCACCAGGGACTGGTAATACTGCTGCTGTTGCTGTTGCTGCTGTTTGTAGCGTGACAGGATGAAGAAGAGACCCAGGATGCTCTTTAAGTTGCCATTCCTGATTTCTGGAAGGTAAAAATGGATTGTAAGTGTTAGTTATTTAACAATTCCTCCATCGTACGGCCATGGACCTACAGAATCAAATTCTCTATGGATAGAAATGTGACTTCAGTCTCAATCTCAGTCATCGCGAGCGTACAAGCAGAGCACACATGTGCGATCTGCCTGCATCCATGTATCCTCTAAATCTACCTATGCATTTTCTTGGATTTAAAGTATTTTCTGCAAGTGAAAGTAATCAGCCAAAGATAACATTTTCCCAGAACATGTATTTTGACTTTCAAGCACTATAAAACGAGCATATGCTGATTGTGGAAGAAGAAAAAAACACTCAGGGACAGAGCTCAAGAGCAGCTGTTGTGAAGCAAACGTAAATATTTAAAAAGAGCAATTACATAAAGATACACAGAGTTATAGAATAAGCACTTCAGTGACTTAACTGTATTTAGCAGGAATGATTAAGGCCACTGCTCAGAAGAAGGTCCAGCTGTTATACTGCAGATCCAAATAAAGCATCTCTAACCCGAGCTACGCACAGCTGGATCATTTAGGAGCGGTGACCAGTAGGGAACTACTACTCTGATGTATTACTGGCACAAGTCTGTCGGCCAAGCAGCCAAAAATATAAAAGAGTTACTTTGTTTATAGTTCTGCTCTCGCCATGAAATAAGGAAGTGACTGCATGTGCTGCTGGGTGAGGGTAGAAGTGACACATTTCTGTGCACTGATGAAGGCAGAACCATTCAAATGTGTGAGATAAAAAGGAAGAATGAACAGTTTGGATTTTATTATCTGAATGACAACTAAAATGAAAGAAGCTAGAAAACAGCGGCGCTGATAACCACGCATGAATCACCATATTCATGCTGCAAAATGAGCTCACAGCAGAAAAGAGTAACAAACAACAATAATAAGATAGAATTCACGTTTTGGATATTGGATCTTCAACAAATAGCAGAGCTGCAGATAAAGTAACTGCTTAAATATGCTGAAGAGGCAACAGAAAGAATCCTCTAATCAATAAGTCTATAGTGTAAATCTTACCCTGAACACTTTTGAGTTAATCTCAGACAAAACTCAAACAAATGCTTCCCTCACAGACTCCCACACACACACACACACACACAGACGTAGTGCTGAAGTAGGATCCAGTCGGCGATGAGGAAAAAGAATTGATCACTGGCTAACGCACCCGTTTGTGAAATGGGCTTTTCATACCAAACTCTCAGCGAGAGCTGGCACACAGAGGAATGGGAAGAATGGCAGTGGCTGACACAGGGGTTTCTACTACATTTTTCAATCTGGTGAGGAACAAACATTCCCCCGGCCATCCGTGGCTATGCTGCAGAGGCTGTGAAAGTTAGGGAAGATTAATCTCTTGGGGGCGTTTGCTATTTTCTAACACCCAGAGGTGGGAATATACACGAGGCCTTTGAGAGAATCAGAACAGAAAACGCTTTCTGTGCTTTAGGGAAAATAACGTTGCAGATTCTGCTGCACTGGGACTAAAACTTTTTTGCAACTTGTAAAAAAAAAACCCCAGCCCTCGCTGAAATGATACTGTTGAGGACAAGAAGCAGAATAATGCTTTATCGATCCAACAGAATAAGTGCTTTTGTGGGAAAACTCAGCAGCTCATTTTCTTCAAAGAAACTTTAACAGGATGCAGGCTTGGGCCAAGGTGACAATACCAACCACGCAATTCAGCAATGCTAATTTCTGTCCCCCTTTTGAGAAGATGTTGTCTTTTCACATGCTTTTAATGTTTGGTGGATGATCTAGTTCCTCTTTCAAATGATCATGTAGCAGGTCATTTCCATTTAGACAGGGGATGAGTCCCTTTTCAGGAAGATCTGTTAAAAGAGCCGTGTAACAGCGTTGTCCCCTGCAAATGACTTTAGAGGTAATTGGCAATGACAGACATGGAGCCAGCATGACTGCCATGTATACTATTAGGGATGCAACGATACCAATTTTTTCAAACCGATACGATACCGATACTTGGATCTGAGTACATGCCGATACAGAGTACAAAAACCGATACTTCTACCACACACACAAATACAATTAATTGGAAGACAGGTTTTATTATATTCCCTGCCAATAAAAAATAAAATCTTAATAAAAATGACCACAAAAATGTCAAGTGAAAAATAAGCACTTCTGTTAAATTATTGCAGAGTCTCCACATTGTAATTTTACAAAATATCACTGAACTATTGGCACTGTCTGGGCGGCTGGGAATTTCATATCGCAGCTCGAGTATGCTGAGAAGA